ATCCATCCATCCATTTCTCCATCCATCCATCTATTCACCCATTCATCCATTTTTTCCATTCATCATCCATCCATCCACCCACCCATCTACCCATCTATCTATCCATCCATTTCTCCATCCATCATCCATCCATCCACCCATCTGTCCATCCATCCTATCCATCACTTTATTAGGCTAGGGTAGGTGGAGGGGAGGAAGTGGATCCCACCAGGCACAGAGAACAGAGGTGGAAGCAGGTAACTTAGGTGCAAGGAACGGAAAGGTGCCAGGTAGGATGGGGTGGGAGAGTGTAGGGGATGGGAAGGCAACTGGGTTGGGTCAGGGTCCCCTCATGCAGAGCCTGGCAGAGCTGAAGGGTGAGCAAAGTTGTCTCATTCTCATTGGATGCCATGGCACCGAGAAGCCCAGCCACCTGCCTGTTGTAACACAGCTTAGGAACCACGACCTTGGACTTTCTGCTTTTCTTTCAGCTGAATCCTGCTTCCTTTTCTGAGGAAGGCCCTGGAGAGGACATTTCCAGGTTCTCTTGCCGCCCTGAAAGCTTGGCTGGTCCCGGCAGTGGGGCACTCCCAGCACTCGGGGGCCACCTGTGCTCTGCTAGTCCTTCTGTCTGCCCCCTGAATTTCCAGGACTTTCAAATTTCTGATCCAAGAGAATTTTATAGACGTGGCCTGCGTGGCTGGCTGTAACAACCGTCTGTGGAATAAACGAGCCCTTCTGTTGGACTTGCAGGTAGTTTAGCGTCATGCTGAGAGCCAAGGTGAAATGCCTGGGCGGAGGGGGTGGGGGCTGCTGTGCCCGTGACCTGTGTGTGGGCTGTCCCCACTCTCGGGGCTTCAGTTCCCCTGACAGAACCTGACTAGCAGTGTTGACTTAACTCCTTTGGTGTTTGGAACTGGTTAAGCAAAAATAATTGGCCTAAGAAATGCTTCCTGAATCTGTTTTTGGGTCTCCCTGGGCTAGCGCCTCCGTTTTCTTCTAGGGAGTCCCCTCCTCTCCCTCTACTCCAGCGTCCAGTCCCTGGGCTCTGGGTAATATTAAATGCACCCTTCAGGGCCCAGTAGTGTCATGTGACTCGGGATTGGCCAATCACAGCGTGGCATTCTCCTGGCCACAGGGATTGGGTCAGAGATGGGCCCGTGGTCCAGCTGGAACCAATGGGATGGGGTGATTTTTGCAACACCCTTTGGAAAAGAAGACTCCAATCTTTGCTGCTGCTTTTGAACTTGAGAGAATGTGACAGGACCTGCTAGGATCCATTCATTTCATGGAGTAAGAAGATAGAAGCGCTCTGGTGGAGTGGCCAGGTGCTGGTGCTCCTTGCACCCCTAGACCCAACAGTGCCTGAAGCCCACTTTCAGGTTAATTTTACATGTCAATTTGAGTGGATTAGAGGTGCCCAGAGAAAACATGGTTTCTGAGTGTGTCTGCGAAGGGTTTCTGAATAAGGCTGGCCTTTGAATTGGTGGACTCAGTTAAGTAGATGGCCCTCTGTGTGTACCTGGGCGATGCCCAATCTGATTAGGGTCTGAATAGAACAGAGGTAGAGGATGAATCTGTCCCCTTCCTGGCTGTCTGTTTTCACGGTGCTGGGGATGGGACTGAGGACCCCAGGCCAGTGCTCTACCTCTGAGCTACGCCTCCCGACCCCTGGCTTCACTCTGAGCGGAGATGTCCTCTCCTCTTCTGCTGTTGGACTGGGACTTACACCAGTGACCCTCTGGGTTCTCGGCCTTCAGACCTGCTGAACTACACCAGGGGCTGTGATGGGGTCTCCTCCAGCTTGCCGGTGGCACCTGATGGCCCTTCCCAGCGTCTGCAATAGTGTGAGCCAACTTCAAAATACATTTACCCATGTGCACCCCATGGCTCTGCTTCTCTGGAGAATCCCGAGTAACGCCCAGCCACTCCTGTGGGCTCTTCAGTTACATGTGCCCAGCCATGTCTTGATGCGGCCCAAACCGACTTGCATCTTATTCTGGCCTACTGGGAATCTAAAGAGGAGTGACAAGCTCATCATTGAGAGGAGGGGTCAGCCAGCCAGGGCCTGTGGGCCAGACCCGGTCCACTGCCTGTCTTTGCCTTTTGTTTTTGCTTGAAGCTCTTTATTGATGTATAGTGTGTATCATATGAAATTCATCCCTCTAGATGGTATAATTGGATACATTTTAGGAAATGCATAGAGACATGAGACCAGCCCCCAAATTAAATTTTTAAAAAACTCCTATCCACCCTCCAAGTTTCCCTCATGTCCTCCCCACCCGCTGCCAGGGAGAGAACCAAGGGCCTTGCTTATGCTAGGCAAGCGCTCTGCCTCTGAGCCCCACCCCCAGCCCCTCATATGCTTTTTAACTTTATAAGTAAATGAATTTCTTTCTTTTTTAATTTTTTTTCTTTCTTTTCTTTTTCTTTTTTTGGTACCAGGGATTGAACTCAGGTGCCGCCCACCACTGAGCCACATCCCCAGCCCCATTTTGCATTTTATTTAGAGACAGGGTCTCACTGACTTGCTTAGGGCCTCACCATTGCTGAGGCTGGCTTTGAACTTGCAGTCCTCCTGCCTCAGCCTCCTGAGCTGCTGGGAAGTAAATGAATTATTTTTTTTAACAGCTTTATTGAGATGTGATTCACATACCCCACAATTCATTAAAATGTACAATTTAGGTGGTTTTTTGTTTGTTTTTTAGTATGTTCAAGATACATGCAACCATCATCGTGGTGATTTTAGAGTATTGTCATCCCTTCAAAAGGAACCCTGTAGCCTGTAGTTGGAACTCCCTCTCCTACAAGCCCCTGGTTCTGGCCACTGGCCACTATCCATCTCCCCCATCTGTATGGATTTGTCCATCTAGGCCTTTTGTGGAAGTGGATTCACACTGTCCACGGCGCTGGGTCTGGTGTAACCTCATCTCAGGTTCATCCCTCCTGCCTCCTTCCTTTTCATGGCCAAGAAGTACTCCGTCTGTGAATGCACCACGGCTTGCTTGTCGGTCATGGGTTGACGGGCATTTGGGCTGTTTCCTGTTTTGGCGACTCTGAGTCATACAGCCATTTGTCCACAGGTTTCGTTGGGGACATATGTTTTCAGTTCTGTCAAGTAGGTAACTCAGGGGTGGGACCACTGGGCCACCTGGTGGCTCTATGCTTACCCACCTGGGGGCCTGCCAGGCTCTTTTCCAAAGCATCCGTGTGGTCACTCGCAGGGCAGTGGCTCTGGTTCCTCCACATCCTAAGCAGCACCTGTTATGAGGGTTTTTAGATGGCAGCCACCTGGTGGGGGATGACTGCCTCTGTTTGTCCATAAAGTTTTATTTGAATACTCAATGTCACTTGTCATTGACATCAACTTCTGCTTTTTACACTCCAGTGACGCAGCTGACGAGTTGCTATAAAGCTGACGTGGCCTGCCAAGCCCCAAACACTCACTCATTTTTTTAAGATTTGTTTTTATTTTTTTATTGATGCATTATAACAGCAGACTCTGGATACCATCTTCATACGTGCACATACATATTGCTCTGTTTTTTTTTGGGGGGGGGTTTACTAGGGATTGAACTCAGGGGCACTGGACCCCCTGAGCCACATCTCCAGCCCAATTCTTCATTTCATTTAGAGACAGGGTCTCACTGAGTTGCTTAGTGCCTCGCTGAATTGCTGAGGCTGGCTTTGAACTCGTGATCCTCCTGCCTCAGCCTCCCGAGTGCTGGGATGACAGGCGTGTGCCACCGAGCTGGGCTATTATCTTGTTCTTTACAGAAGGAGTCTACGGGGCCTCTGTTCAGACCAGTTCTCTTATTTCTTATCCAAGGAAAGTGAGGTCAGGCAAGATTCGGCCTCCCCCTGGAGACACATAGGCAGGACAGGAATCTTTCTGGGCCTCATGAGCACGTCTGTAAAATGGGGCACCATCCTCAGAAGATGTGGCCAGGGATGCCTAAGACACAGGCAGTGAAGGGCTCAGCGGATGCTCCTTCAACCTGAACTGTCTCTAGCATGGGGACACCGGGCACTGGGTGCAGTCCCATCTGCCTGCACCCTGTGCAGAGGCCTTTCCTGTCTGCCAGAGGAGGCTGCTGGGTCACCGGTGCCCGTGCCCGGGCTCCCTTCTGATCTAGAGAAGCCTGAGACTTGCACCTGTGGACCACTGCATGCAGAACGAAGTCCCCCCCTCTCTCCCTGTCCTCTGGCCTCTTCCACCATCCAGCAAGCCGGCTCCTAGGTCAGACTTCAGTCCCTCCTAGCCCTTGTTAGAGGGTCAGCTCAACCCTCTCCCCCTCCCTCTCTCCACCTCTCCCCCTCCCTCCCCCCTCCCTCACACACACTACTGGCCAGACTCCAGGCAGGCAGGGCGGACACCTGGCTGCAGAACCTTGAGCTTACTCAACCTCTCTTGGTCTCCGTTTCCTTATCTGTAAAACATGACCAGCAGGTACCCTACGGCCCCTGGGAGCATCCAGTGAGCTACCGTGTGGCACCAGCGGAGCGCACTGCCTGGCCTGGCTCAGTAAGTGCCATCTCAGAAAAGCCAGACTCTGTGCAAACGACTCTTTGCATTCTTCCCATTTTGCCATGAGGACAGGGGCTCAGAGATGTGGAGTGAGTTCCCCAAGGGCACACAGCAAGGACTACCTCAGACCAGCCCTTCCTCCCTCAGGGCCTCCGTGTCCCTGTCTGTCCCCATCCCTGGACATCTGATATCTGGAAGCCCCGTTCTTTTGTTTTGCTTTTGTTTTTTTTTTGGGGGGGGTTGGGTTGGCTTGCTTGGTTGCCTTTTTTTTGGCTTCTTGCCCGGGGGGCGTTTTCCCCTTGTTGGGTTGCAGGTTTTTGTTTTTCCTTTCCCCTTCCCCTTGCCTTTAGGGGCTTGGGTTGGGCCCGGCCGGGGGGGCCGGTTTTGGCCTTTTGTTTTTTCTGCTCTTGACATGATTGGTCTCACCAGTGTCCACCCGGCCATTCTGCAGGCCCTGGGAGTGGGAAGGGGGTTCCTGGCATCGCTGTGGCAGGGTCTGGAAGTCCTGACTCAGCTCCGACTCTTGCACCAATGGCTGCACCTCGAGCCATTTCACTGTGTTCGTTGTCCCGGGTTCTGCAGCACCCAGGGACCAGGTGCCTGGGGGAATTCAGATCCTGCTGCAGTCTGACTGTGTCCCCCAAAGTTCAAGGGTCGGAAACTTGATCCCCAAAGTCATTGGTTGGTGGTACTTGGAGGTGGGGCTTTGGGAGTGATTAGGGTTAGGTGAGGTCATGAGGGTCGGGCCCCATGGTGGCCTCAGTGGCTTTGTAAGAGGAAGACTGAGGCAGCTGTCTCCACCTGCGATGCCCCCGTTTATGTTACCATGCCACCTGATGCTAAGCTGATGCTCTTGGACTTCCTGGTCTCCAGAACCACAGGCAAATAAACCTCTCTTCTTTATAAGTTTCCCAGCCTGGGGTATTCTGATATAGCAACAGAAAACAGACTAAGACCCCAGTTGTGGCTCTGCCTGGTATGACAGTCCATGCCTTAGTTGCTCATCTTAGTAATCCCCTCCCCCCACTCTTCCCTATCCTAGCTTCCCGTTTGCTTCCCTCAGGTCACCTGACCAAGTGACAACTTCACCTTTATTAATATTTGTGTTGGTGTCTGTGTGGCTGTGAGTCTGCAGATCCTGCAGGGGCAGGACTGGTGCCCATGTTTTTCCTCAGTCTCCAATCCAGCTCCATCTGTGCCTAGCACATAGTAGGTG